AACACGTATATTTCCTTATTGGGCATGATCAGAAATGTGATGTTTGATTAGGAATATATAGGTTTAATTGTAGGCGTTACATGTGAACTATTAAAGGTTAGACCTCTGTTTTTTAATAAATGCATAATTATAATCTGTTCGATTCGCGATCACATGATAACAAACCAATAAGAATGCGCAAATCATATGTGTGCCGGCAACTATTAAAGGTCAATTTTATCGTTTAGGTTAGGGTAAGGGTTAGCGTGAAGAATAAGGTTGTATGTAAAATTGCCTCTCCGACATTTTTTATTAGAGCTTCAAGTTAGATTTAGACATCTGTTTCCCGTATTTTTCACATTTTCACACTTCATTTTTTTTGTGTCGGATTTGTTTTGCCGGGCTGATCAAAAAATTTGCGCATCCTTATTGGTTTGTCATGTGCATGTGATCAGGAACCGAGCACAGATTCTATATACACAAGATAAATGCATCTCAATGTAAAACTGATAACACTGGTAACAATGTGGTAATTAACATGAAAAGAACACAACATATCGATCTCGATATTTTTATTTATTCGATAAAAACAAATAAATAAAAGAGGAAAATTCTAACGTGTCTTGAAAATAAATCGCCTGTTAAGTTATTTTTGGGGAGAATCGACGACATGTTCTAATAATAACGTGTACTTCACTTTCCATGCTTCTTGTACATATTGATGCAAATGTGAATGGACGGCCACACAACATAATATAATATAATATATTCTTTCCCCTTTTTCCCCGTTTCTTATTGCTCTTTCTTTTTTCGTGTTGCAACGTTTTTTCTCTAAAATAAACTAGTAGAGATTGCTCATCTCACTCAACGAAAAAATAATAATATATAGTCCACCTTAATAATAACGTGTTGAGATAAAAAATGAGTACTCTAAAATACTTGTCAGCTTTGACTATTGTTACTTTCTGCACTTTGGCAGTTGTCGAAGCAGCCACTACTAGTTCGTCTGCTGCCAAGCCATCTTCAAGTTATTTATGTAATTCACCTGTGTTCACTACCTGCTATAATTCACAAAAGACTATTTTAGATACTTGCAGTCCTGCAGATTACACTTGTAATTGTGATAATCTTAAAGGTTAGTAAAGATGAAAATTGGGAACAATAGTGTTTGAAAACTTAAATAACGAGGGAACATTGATATAGCATGCATTAAAATCTAATAATTATTTAGCTATTATCAATTGCTATCCCCATTGCCCTGATGATACTAGTTTCCAAGACCAGCTTTCAGCATATGTGGTATGTTAAATTCTATTAATTTAATAGCTGATTGATTGATAGATGAATTGATTAATTGATTGAATAAAATTAAAAACAGGCACGAAAGGATGAAGCTTGTGCTAAAGCACCAGTAATCAGTCAAACTTGGACTGGATCCAGTACAGCTTCAGCTACCCCAGCCAAAACTAACACGGATTCCAATACTGGGATCACTGAAGCCGCTAGCGGTACTCCCATAAAAAGTAATGCATTCTCTACTACCTTCAACAACGATCAATATCTATTCGCCGAGAAATTGCTTTTAGCAATTACCGCTATTGCTTTCTGTCTCGCTTTTTAAGTTCGATTGATTCTTGTCATTTTTACTCATAAAATATATACATTTATTACCAACTTAATTAATTAATTATCGAGAGAAAAATCGAACACCTTAATTTTTACATGACACATTCTTTTGTAACGTACATCTCCCTTGGATTTAGTCTTTTTTATTCATGTGAAGTGGAAGGGATGTGAAATAGAGCGGAAAAAAGTTAAATTTTTAAGAGACTAAAACATTTTAAAGATTTGATAGAGAACAAAAAAATTTTTATAATATTATCCATATACTCACAAAATTATATTATTTGATAGCCCCTTTTTTCTTCTTTTTTTTTAACAAACGCCTTAATAATGTGATAAATTTTTCGGAGTGGTAAATAAAAGATGATCGGTAATAAGTTCTTTCTTTATATTTGGGGTTACAGGGTTAAAGGCCAAAATTTTGAAAATGAAAGAAATGCCAGAATCATCAAAATTTTTACATAGTAAAAAGGTATTGCTCATCTTACTCAACGGAAAAAATTATAATAATTTACACGGATCCTACGGTAAGACCAAGCGGAGAAGTATGCGCAATAAATGTTTATGGTATGGTTTTTCCCTTTTACGTAGTGTGGTGTACTTGTTATACTTTGCAACACATACCATACTACTTTGCTTGAACTGTTTTACACAAGCATAACGGGCTTTCTTTGTGATTGGCTAATTTTCCTAGATCATTTTTAATTTTTCTAAAATTCTATTGGTTAATAAAAATAGCATGCCTCGAATTGCGATAAGTATGATTTTTTTAGCATTAACAATTAGTTTGTTATAACGTTTTCTGCCAACTAAATTTAAATGTTTGTTAATATCCGGTAGTCACTTTATTAGATACTACAGAAACACCATTCTTTTCACCGATAATATCATCTCCCTCCAGGTCACAATAGTCTGCTTTTCTCTTACCTTTTTTCTCACCAACAGGATGCTGTACAGACATCATCTACAAAAGAAAATAGTAAATTAATATACATGTATTTTATTTTGTCAAAATTCTAATGCTGAAGTACCAAATTGCAAAAATTCCTCTATAGTCAACTTCCGAATTTTTCAACGGTTTATAGAATATTGATATAACATATTGTTACCGTTGTGACATGTTATATGTTATTTAGCTATTTGTTGACATGGTTTTGCAAAAGTCCAAGATGGTGAGCATTACGTTATTACCAGAAGGAGTTCAACATTTATCTATAATAATGATATTTCTCTCACATGATAATAGTATTTGACAAAAGAACAATGATTATTAAGAATCTAATTGGTTTTTATTAAGATATTTTAATTGGTTCTTTATTATAAATTAGATTT